GAAGATCATAAAGGCATACAATTGTAGGAGCGACTGACGATATGGACCTAAATGCCTGCGTGTAGAGTACTACCATCAGCAAAGCTGTGGATCGGATTGATCGAACAAGAGTTCTAAATTAAGTAACCGTAAAACCTGCTTCTTGTGTATTAATAGTTCTACCAAATAATCAAAATATTGACAACTGGTATAGTAAGTATAAAATAATTAACAATCTCTGTGTTACTCAAATAGCATATGTAATTCCGAAATTTGCGATCTCGCCATTTTTTTAATCACTACTTCTATTCCCAAAAACTACATATGAGGAGCAATATTTTGCAAGTCGTTAATTAAAAAGGTCAAGATATTGATATTGCTGAAACTAAACTTAATAGTTTCCAACATCAATGCTAATGCTACCTACTTTGATTTTGATGGGAGCCGCAGCTAAAACGTTCAAGTTCATCGTTTTAGTGGTCTCGTTTGTTGGCTGTAACTGGGAATAGGATCAAGACTGTCGCACGCTGGGGAAGCAGATCAGGTTTTCTGTGAATATCACAAACATCCGAGTGCATCACGTGGCTCTCGCAACCCGGAAGCTTAGAATATCTCTAGTTGGGGGTCCTGCGGCAAGCCGAACAGATGCCGACGGCTCCCATTACGGAATCCCACAGCCTCACCTACAACATCCCCTTCGATGCCTGAGAAATATTTCTTGTTCGGCATTACGTAACATGTTACGTAACTTAAAAGTGACATTATATCGATTTGTGATGACATTATGTAGGTTTTTCGATCAGTTTTTCCGAAAAAATGTCATCTTGGAACTGGCTGTCATTCACTTCATGTTCACTTGCCTAAACGTCATGACGCTTGACTTATATATGGTTTGGCTCTGATGAGATGTAACATCTGGTTCAGAGATGGCACTATTGGAGGTCATTTATAACACCTATGGTCTAAGTTTTATGTTTTATACCATAAATAGAAAGAAACACTGCAGTTCACCGTGATGATTAGTGAACTAATAATCTGTGTTGATCATGATACCGTTAGTTTCGCAAAGCATACTGGAGAATTGTGAGTTGCAGTGTGTAGTAACCCTAACGAATATACATATTTCAATTGAAATCAACCACCCTGACACAACCTGAGTTGAAAGAAATTTGCATAGCGTTGCGTGCACTATAGAGATAGCCGATATCGTTATTTTTAACTATCTGTGAAATATGACATATTTACTTGTTGATATCAGTGATTTAAAAGCGTGACGTTATTACGACTTTCGATGGGACGTGGACGACGGGTGAATTTCCGCTGACATGCGGTTGGGGGCGGATCGCACCGTTATCGGTGCAAGACTGTCCATCCCAGTGGGATGTAAATTCGTAATTATTTCTAACACCATTCGATGTTTTTTAAAAGTAATTGTTTACTATATTATCGTATCGTGTAAAGTGACGTACATTGAACCATATTTTTGGTAAAACTTGACTAAGATGCATTACTGATCTTACACGTGCTTATTGAGTAATTTGTGATTTGGGCATCTGACAGAATTGTTACGACCTCAAAGTAATTAATCTATAAGAAAATGAAGAAGTTATGGGTATCCAGATCTACTGTTATCCTGAGCGGAAAAGGGTCTCGGATGTCGAACGTGGTGGTGCCACCCGGCGGATCTACTACGGCAGAGCCAGAATGTGTGCATGTTGCATGCACAGGTATTCCCGCGCTAAAGTCCGTGTGACGTCCCCCTTTTCCCCTATATCCCCCTATAGCCACATGGTATCCGGGGGCCTTAGGCCTTACGCCGGCTCCACACGTTGGCCCCAACGTTGGTCCCAACGCCACTCGCCCAACGTGTGTATCTAGAAAATAGCGTTGGCCCCAACGTTGGAGCGACCGTTGGTAGTTGGCTGTCGATTGTCGGTTTTATCAAAGGAATCTGCGCCAACGTTGGCAATCCGTCCACATATCGGCTCACTGGCTCAGTCTTGTTGTAACACGCGTCGAGTGCGTATATGGAGATATGTCATCAACAACATCGCTACCCGCGTGGACAAACGAAAAAGTTGTAGAATTTTTAGAGTTATACCAGGCGCATCCAATAATATGGAACGCCTCTCGCAAAGACCATAAAAATAGAAATTTAGTAGCCGATGCATGGCGCAATATTCAACAGAATATGAAAATGATTTATTCTATTGAGGAATTGAAAAAGAAACCGAAATTGCTCTAAGCTCTTTTACAGTACTGATGAGTGCGTATAATTTATATTTGTTATTGAAAAAAAAGAAAAAGCCACGTCAAAGGAGATGGTGGATGACAACGCATCATCAAACTCGGTACCAGTAAGTACAGACTATACACTCCATTCTAGCAGCTTTTTACAAGGCAATTTAATATTAAATTATCTAATAATGTGTATACAGTGTGTCCATGATAAGGATGTCTATCATGAGGCTCTTGGAAAACAAAAGTGATACGAAGATGGTTAAATTTCAAGCCTAACAATATGCCGTTTAGAAAGCTTTAAAATTCCGAGTTGTTCCGGAGGTATGCCTAAAAAATGCTACTTAATACAGGGCATACTTTTTTACGCGCCATATAAAAAATAAAGTTGATGTAGAGCTTAAAAAGTAGCCATAAGAAAGTGTCTGTTGTTTTTCCATATCTCTTTAAATAACGTCAGAAAAAAATAAAAACGAAATCGGCAAATTTCGGTTTTTTAGGCATACCTCCGGAACAACTCGGAATTTTAAAACTTTCTAAACGGCATATTGTTAGGCTTGAAATTTAACCATCTTCGTATCACTTTTGTTTTCCAAGATCCTCATGATAGACATCCTTATCATGGACACACTGTATACACATTATTAGATAATTTAATATTAAATTGCCTTGTAAAAAGCTGCTAGAATGGAGTGTATGGTTTGTACTTACTGGTACCGAGTTTTATGATGCGTTGTCATCCACCATCTCCTTTGACGTGGCTTTTTCTTTTTTTTCAATAACAAATATAAATTATAAGCACTCATCAGTACTGTAAAAGCGCTTAGAGCAATTTCGGTTTCGGTGTCGGACACATTGGCTCTGACAGAAAGGAACTAGTATAATAACCAACGTGTGGACGCTTCACCAACTTAACCGACCAACGTTGGTACCAACGTTGGGGCCAACGTGTGGAGCCGGCGTTACTGGTGGTTCAAGTATAAAAAATGACGTAAATTCCCGTAATCTACAAGACATGCTTACATGCCACTGAGATGTTCCTGGAGTTGTATACGATGTTACAGTTACCCTGCAGTACCGTTTGCAGTTACGCTTAGTTCCCAAAGCCGCGATCACGTTACGCTTTTCCACGCTATTTGGTAACAGTCGTAATTTAGAAATATCAGTTAATAAATCACAGCGTGAAATCTGCCACCACTGGTTCGCTGCTTCCAACAATGTCGTATAATTTGTAAAAACATGAATGATTAAAATGGTCGGATGTCTCAGAGTACCGCCTGCAATCAAACAATTTCTATATTTACTAGTCAACTTGTGACATCATTTCATTAAAAAGATGTAGGTCATGCCCCGTGATAAGTCATCCCTTCTTTCATTCGTTGGTGGGGGTGAAAGCGGTGTTAAGTCAAAATCACATATTTCGAGAAAATTCAATTTAAAGAAATGTATCAATTGAATTGTTCATTTTAGAATACTTCTATTAACTTTTCTGACGGAAACTTTTTTGTATAATAATAATAATAAAATGTCTTTATTAGGCACATTATATAAACTACAACATAATGTGACCTCTACGTAGGCGAAGTCTAGCTCTTGGCTACTCTACTTAACCTACCCAAATAATAAATTGAAACACTTAATCAAAGGAAACTTTGACAAGCAGCAAAAGATGCTTCAAAACAACGAGCTTGATAGCTTCCTGACATACATATATACACACATATATTACGTAAAAATAAAATGTAAGAATTAAAAACTAACTTTTCCACGATTACTACAATGACAAATAAATCTGTTTCACATGCTTACGAAATCTGTTTACTGGCCAATCCTTTATATTGTCATCTAATTCGTTATAAATCAGGATAGCATTGTAAGTGTATGAATTACGAAATAAAGTTGTTTTATACATAGGGATCTCTAGTCTTTTTTTGTGTCTGAAATCAATGTCTGAATTATTTCGTCTGAAAACAAATTTCTCATAAAGATACAAGGGGGATCGAGAAGATATGATCTTATGTGTAAACACTGCTATATGGTACTTGCAAGCATTTTCATGATCATACTTCTTGAGATTAAATACAAATCGACAACAAGTATGTTGTTGTCACAGTATTAAACATAAAATTTTTGCCAAAGTAATGTGATTAATAATTTTGGAAAAGTGAGTTTTGATAGACTTGCCTCTTTGTTCACAGCAAGTTGTTTGACATATATCCTTCTGCACTATACAGAACGTGAAGGAAAATAAAGTCAACCTGCTTTTTAAATATATTTCGTTCACAAAGGCTTACAAATAGACAAACAGCATCTGGAAAGACATCAATTTGATCACTAACAGTCTTCAAATTTTTATAAAAATCCCAATGTCCCTCTGAAATATAAGGAAGTAGGACGATCAGATGTTGTTTCTTTTCTACGAATATTGGCACAGATTTTTTGTATATGTTCTCTGGATTCAGCATCTTCTTGCTTTGATCGTACCTTGTTTTTAAGGTAAGACTCTTAAAATCCTCAGTCTCACTTAGAGTGCTTTGTAAAGCAATATTCTATTACCTTTTACGTATTGAATCCATCTCCCTTCTCTCCAGTTAAATTTGCCGCCTATTGTATTCTGTTTTCTGTTTACTAACGATTTGGAATATAATCCAGCAAAATTTAAAATTGTGAATGTTCCATTTCATGTACCACAAAAGGTTTCTTCTGACCAACTAGGCGTATGAGTTGAGCAATGCCATGAGGATGTACAATTTTCAAATCGGTTTTTCTCTTTCTCTTCTCAATTAGGCTGTGTTCTGTGTCAACTTCCATATGTGTATGGCCAGGTAACAAAAACTGATGTTCAATGATAGCCAAATTTAGACAATTTACCAATGCAATTAGACAGGCAGCAGAAATACAGGGTGGCGCATCGAAAACAAAACAGACGCATTTACTGGCAGCTCAGTTTTTTTTTTGAAAAACGCTCAGACCCGTCGATTTTGTTTTCGAGGGGGACACAAGTTTGGCAAAAAATCACGTTAGCACGTGCAGCCCCCTAAGCGGGGTGACACCACCCCCAAAATCTTAAATGGACAGGGGGGTCGAGTCATACCTTATTTTAAAGGTCTTTCAATTCCCTTTGTAATGATATAAAACTAATGTACTTCAGTTCAGTAGTTTTGAAGTTATATTGGTTTAAAGCTTAAATAAAACTAATACATCATCATTAGTGGAGATCAATACATTTGGCAGCAAAGTAATTTAAAAATGAAGAATGAACTGACCCGTTAGGCAAGTAAATGTTGAAAATGACCACCATGACTCTCTATGCAATAATAAAGATTTTGCTCAAAACGTTGCCGCACATTTTGAAATATTCGAGGAGTAATTTGAAGGCACTCATTCAAAATTCTTTGTCGCAGGTCTTCTAATGATGTTGACTGAGTAGCATAGAATTTGCTTTTTAAATGACCCCACATAAAAAAATCCAAAGGTAATAAATCTGGCGATCTTGGGGGCCATTCAATGGCACCTCTTCTACCAATCCATCAATCTGGAAACGTCTGATCTAAAAATTATCGAACACGTAATGCGTAATGTGGTGGGGCACCATCCTGTTGGAACATCAACCTATTCGCAATGTACCGCCGATCATTCTGATTTTCAATTATGGCTGTTAATGCAGGATCTATGGCGTCTTCTAGTAATTCCAAATACATTTCACCAGTCAAATTTCCAGGTAAGAAAAAAGGACCAACTAAATGATCGCCAAAAATCCTAGCCCAAACATTTAATTTTTGTAGCTGCTGTGTTTGAACTTCATGATAAATTCTAGGATTAGAATCGGACCCTTATCGGCAGTTATGACGATTTACTACGCCATTTAAGAAAAAGGAACATTCGTCGGAAAAGAATAGAATAGAAAATGTTCATCGTTTATAATTCGTTCACTCATATCTTCACAAAATTGTAATTATCGATCAAAATCGTCATTAAGTTCTTGTACCAGGTAAATTTTATACGGATGAAAACTATGGGCCTTTAGAATCCGTTGGACAGTACGTCGACTAACACCACACACAGTCTCCAATTTGCGGGTACTTAACGTAGGATCTACATAAACTTGCCCTAAAACCACCACTTCTATTGCTTCGTTCCTTATGGGATTTTCAATGTTGCGTTTTTTATTGGCGACTGACCCAGTTTCCCGAAATTTAGCTACAAGTTCTTGAACATATTTTCGATGCACGTTACTGTTCTCATATCGCTCATTAAATATTTCAGCACTGATTATTTCCGAAAAATATTTCGATAATTTCAACTCTTTCTGCTGTGGAATATATCATGCTTAATTTATGTAATAAAGCGTTACAAGTTATTTTAGCAACAAAGTTTGGTCAAATCAATCCCAAAATATGTACTAAATTCCTATTTAAAGTAAGTACGAGATATTTCCTTATCTTTCTTTAAGAAATAACTTTTTGCCACAAAAAACGCTCCAATAGCTATTTTCAACAACAAAATGATAAACAAACCATGGGCGTAGTGAAGCAAAGCATTTACTATTAAGTAAATTCTTTTAGTCAAATTTCTTCTGAAAGTATGTAGTACAAACTACTCTGATGTACCTATTAAAGTCTACTTTAAACTTTAAATCAATAAATCTTCAAAACTACTGAACTGAAGTTCATGTATTTTACATCATTATAAAGGGAATTGAAAGACCTTTCAAATAAGGTATCACTCGACCCCCCTTTCCATTTAAGATTTTAGGGTTGGTGTCACCCCCGCCCAGGGGGCTGCACGTGTTAACGTGATTTTTTCCTAAACCTGTGGCCCCTTCGAAAACAAAATCGACGGGGCTGAGCGCTTTATCAAAAAAAAAACTGAGCTGCCAGTAAATGCGTCTGTTTCGTTTTCGATGCGCCACCCTGTGTATCTGTTCGTATTCTGGCCACCGCATGAATCAGAGTACATAACGATGTGAGAAGCTAAAGTATTGAGATTCTTTAAGTGGTGAACAAGGCATAAACCTATCCCATTACGCCAGCGATTCAAACCACAGGTGACAAAACGCTTGAGAACCATCACAGTCATGAACTGTGAGATGGTAATAAAATGCTTCTCCACTTTGTATGTCTGGTGTTGGGAGGCTCTGGATTGCCTCGCAGCGAGGCATCCGGTATCATTAATATGGGTACCGGGGCACGCTGGGATAAGGGGCAATAAGACGGCGGACACTCTGGCAAAGACAGGATCAGCCAGCAAGCGTGTTGGTCCTGAGCCAGCTCTAGGAGTGACCGCGCATAAAGCTATGAGGAAAATGGAGCCTTGGGTTGCAAGACAACACTCTCAGAAATGGAGAAGTATCTCCAGACATCGCCGCCAGGCACGGGAACTCATTGAAGGGCCCAGTGCTAAGGATGGACGCTTCTGCCTATCTCTGGATAGAGCCAACCTAAGGTTGCTGGTGGGACTGTTGTCTGGCCATAACACGTTAAGTCGTCACCTGCATCTGATGGGGGTAGCTGAGGATCCCTTCTGTGAACTCTGCGGAGTAGAGGAAGAAACCTCGGCGCACGTTTTGTGTCGCTGTGACGCTCTGAGCTACTATAGGCAGACTATACGGGGGTCTATTACTTTGGACCCTCAAGACGTCAAGGAGCTTGGACTCAAGGCGATTCTCAACTTCGCTAAAAGGGCGAGGCTTGTGATCTAAGGATTGTAGAGGTGCATCAGGGCCCGCTTAAGTGGCCTATGCACTGGCTCCTTATGGTGGCCGGAATGCCTCTAATTTCAAGATTCATTCATTCATTTATGTCTGGTGTTGGCAGACACTGCTGTAAATCGAAGCAGATAGTTTTCATTGTAGTCTGACCTAGAGGAGTGTTTATCTTCCCGTTTAGCATTGTATCCTTCATCAGCTCGTTGATAGTCAAATATTATTCCATTTTGGCATTCTCTTCTTCTGACTTGGCCATTTTCAATCGCATTTGGAGTTTGTCGCAAGTGCATCAATAATCTTTTTTGGTTGCTTTATTTATATATTTAAACTGTGGAAGATTTCTTAGTAGGCTCTCCGATTTATAAAGTTTGTAGGATGTTTCATTTTATAGGCCTGGTACAACGACGCTAACGTGTAGTGCTGTTGTAAATATTTCTTTGAAGTTTTCCTTTGAGTGTAATGACTCTCATAGGCAGGAATGGATAAAATAATTATTTTCTTTGGCTTTTTGTTTGTCTTCGTCAGATATCTTGTTTCTGTTAGCGTGAGACCCTCTACTATCCAGTGGCATAATTCCTGAAATATCTCTCTTTTTCTGGATTCACTGACTGATGTCAAATGTCCTGAAACACCCTTTGTATGTAAGTTGTAAGTTATTGTTTATTCTAAGGTGGTACACTGCAGTAGCAATATGTCTTTTATTGCTACCTATCTTACGAATTCTAATAACTTTCACGGGGTTAAGTTAGATATATTGTCGGTGAAAAGGAGATAAGTCTACTTATCTCCTTAGAGCACGCCACGTAACTATTATAATTCTACGAACAAGTCGATAATATGACTTGACTTCCTTTACACTGGATAATTCTACAATTTTAACGACATAACTCTTTAGTGGCTATATCTACGCATCTGGAGCTAATATGACTTATCCCGCTTTACACTCACAAAGATGGATGTCTATACGTTCGGTATATGACTTACTCCCGTTTTACCAAAATTATGACTTATCTCCGTTTACACCCCCTTCAGCGCATTGGCACCTTCAATGGTATATGGAATTCAAAGTAGCAAACTTTCACCCGAGTCGAAAGCTTCAGAACTTTAACAGAATGTGAACTGATATTTCCATAGTGGAAATGCCCATTATAATGGTTTAAGGGAACTTATCTCAATGATTTTTTGCATTCTTCAAATCTGAAGGTAGATATCAAGAGCTTCGGCAGTCCACACAAGAGTAGTGTTTATACACTTTTACGGTTTTATAACCGATGTTATCTTACCTATTTTGTTGTTGTTAATATTAGGGTGTTTTTTGAATCTGTATAAAACAGTAGCCCTGCTGTAGTTATCTGATATAATTCGATGATAGTCGTCGTAGGCGGTATGTGACCTAAGAGTATTCGTCATATAGTAAAAATATAAACTATAAACCTCTGACCTGCATTAACAGCGCATTACTGCAACAAGCATGTCTAAATATGTCTGCTATGCATGGGTTTTTATTCCCTCCATCACCCATCAAAGTATACTGTTCTCCACTTGCACTCGTATATCTCTTTATAACAATAAGAAAAGTAGAATTTTGAAAGAAAATAATGTGAGTTCATTTTTAGAAATCTGTGATATGATACAATGATGGCAAGTTAACTAACATGTTTCTCATCTTGTCAAAAAATGTAAAATTTGCAAGACGCAAATTAACTAACATGTTTCTCATCTTATCAAAGAATGGAAAATTTGTAAGACGTTAAACAAAAGAGATGCCTGCTCCTAGTTTACCAAATACATTTAATTTCAGTTACAAAATAGGCTTTTTTTGATTTTGCCAATTATCGAATTATAAAACTAATAAAATGCATGCTTTTCCCTTTTCCTCGAGTTGGTCGTCATGTGTGTGGTTGACGCATAAAATATCAATATACTTTTAAATTTTTGATATGGCTCATGTCTAAAAATAAAATTGCGAAGACTGAAGACTTTCCACATTTGTAAAATGTTTTTGAGAACTGATGCATAGATAGACTTTTGCGGCACCGTGAACGTTTGGGAGCCTTTGTTCCTATGGCATTTATTAATTCTACTGATTTATTATTCAGCTGAATCAACTACAGAAACAATCAGGTTTTTAAAAGTTGTTTAGTTGGATGGCCAGCGGCTGACGATGTGGATCAATTTTGATAAAAAACGCGGCTGCGTAAGGTAACTTCGAGAATGAAAACAACAAAAAATGGCTTCTTTCTGTTCTTGAGAAGAATTGTTTGTTATAGGTTATTTTTTAAATTCGTTTTCAACAAAGGCTTTTTTGACTTGGCCTCCACCTATTGTAATGCAAATGTCTAGTCACCATATTTTGTTTTTAAAAATTATAAATGCCATTTAACTGTTAAATTTCGACAACAACCGATTTAACTCCCTGCACATAGCAAGGAAAAATAATACGCCAAAGTCGGCTAAGGTCCACAATTCACCAGCACCCGTATATATTACGTAACATAAAAAGTGACATATGTAGGTTTTTTTGGATATAATGTAGGTTTTCCTATAAAATGTCATCTTTGAACTAGCTGACATTCACGTCATGCTTACTTGTAGTGGGCGGAGACTGAACTAGCCGCACACCAGCAGCTACCTTGTGTACAAAAGTTGACATTTTATCATTTTTTTGACGTTGTATAGTTTTTTTTAGGTTTAGGTTATAGCTCTGTCATGCAATGATTGTTTTTTTGTTCTTTTTTAATAACAATGCAGTAATTTTGATTGTATCTTTGTTGTGTTCCAAGTACCTACTCTATTTTCTTTTTTGTTCATAATGCCAGACAGCCTGGACATCACCTGGCAGTTTTCTCAGTGTAAGCAACAATAATTCTCATTGTCCCAGGAACGTTAAACAGTAAACACACGCTTATCTGACCACAAATTGTTCAAAGCTCCCTGCTGGTGCTTATATCAACTACATTCGTTATAAGTACCCAAACGACAATGGTATTTGAAAATTCCGCCCCAATTACAAATACATACGTATTTGCCCCACTGGCACGTCCCTGTGTCAAACTACGCTGCACCTTCCAAATCAATGTCGCACTGGAATCACGCCAAATGCAACCAAAGCAACACTTTACGAATATCACATGCAAGATTTGCCCGAAATCCGAGAAAAATCCACCGAAAGGCAACTGTCACAATTCGCAAAATTGGTCACTCGGTCACCACTAGTAAGGTTATGTACACCTCAACACAAATCGATACGTCATGAAAAAACGCTGGGCAGACACATGTTGCGCCTGCCGCATCGACGCTCTGTCTCTGCCTAGCGCACGTGGGAAGAGAGAGACGGATATAGATGCGGTGTCGGGCTATGGCACTCTATCGGAGTCGTCGCTGTATGTTGATCGCAAGACGCTTTGTTTTTAATCGGCGGATCGATAAGGCGGTGAATCTGAATGGTAATAACACGTGTTGATCAGTAAAAATCATTAGGTACGTTTTTACAGCAGAACCACCAATTTAGATCATTAGATAACATCTTTCCCTGACACAGAGTTAAAATCCGGGTTGTTGGAAAAATCAGCAATATATTACACCACCCAGGGTGTTCCAGAATATATGGATCCATGCCGACCACTAAAAGATAATGTGACAACTTCTTATAAATAAAATTCCTACGAAGCTCTTGAGATAGGGGCCGTTCAAGTATTACGTGAGCACTAAGGGGGGGGTGCGGGGGGTCTTTGCTTTGCTTATTTTGGATGACGGGGGGGTAGGGGAGTCTACAGTATATTCAGATAAGAGATAGACCGGATGTAAACAAAAGGATCGGGTGATTTTCACGCTAACGCCGCCGTCTCGACGTAAAACAGGAGCCCTCATTGGTCAATTCGCATTTAAATGCCTATGCCGAGCGGCAGAGCAGTCGTATCAAGGCAGAGTCACATTCAGGTTCAGACGTGTTACGTATGTCGAGTGCATCATTGCAATTTGATATTTCTTTGGACGTTTTCGTTTGTTATCTTATTAAGTTGTTGAGTTTGTCGTTGTTATTGTTATACCTTGTTATTGATTGTTATTGTTATCAACTGCTTGCGCAAAATGCCCAGTAGTACAGATACTGCCGATGAAGTTGTAAACTCCTGTAGTCCACCTACGAAACGCTCTAAAAAAAGACACCTGAGTGCAGAAATGAAAGAGGTCATTTTGAATATATATTAAGATCGAGCGCGAGGAGAACGAGGCATCAACCATCAAAGAAATTGTTGTGAAGGTTTCTCACAAAGTTGGGGTGTGTCGCGCATCAGTATTTAATGTGTTAAGACAATACAAAAAAATCACACCTTTTCTGAGCCAATGACCAGTAAACATCGCAAAAGTATTGTTAAATCATTGGATGAAGCTGATAAGTATGCGATTAGGAGGAAAGTGCATGAATTCTTCTTTAGGAATGAAATACCTACTATAGATAAAGTACTGCAGGAGGTAAATGGAGATACAACGTTGCCAAATTTCAAACGATCAACTTTCCATGCGTTACTGAAGCATTTAAATTTCAAATGGAAAAAACGGGGTCGTAATAGTTTACTACTGGATAGAGAAGAAATTGTGCTATGGAGGAGGGATTATTTAACAAAAATTGGGAAATATAGAAATCAAAACAGGAAGATTTATTACCTTGATGAAACGTGGGTAAACGCAGGACACACCACAAGTAAAGTATGGGTTGATGATTCTGTAACTTCATCCAGGAGGGCCTTTCTAGATGGACTGTCCACCGGATTAAAAAATCCAGCAGATAAATACGAGTAATAGACAACAATCGGATGTTTTTCAAACCTTGGGAACAAGGTTCTAAACATTAATTCCAGGGGGCAGATAAAACATATTACAAGTTACAAAACTTTTATAACTTTCGATAAAATGCGTGGATGTTGTATTGTCATTTTCATTTATTAGAACATTTTTAAGCCATGTTTTTATGTGTTTTCGATATTTCAATAATTTTTTAATATAATCTTAAAATATGTCGAATATTATAAACTTAAAAAAAGTTACTAAGTTTTATATTGTGTACCGTTCCTAATATTTCTAATCATTTTAATTCATACTTTAAGCTTTATAAAGTTATAATTTGTTAATATTAATATTTGCGCATATTTCAGGTTCCTGATCATTTTTTTAAAGGTTTATAACTTTAAATTAAATTGTGAAGCGCTGAGTAATCATACGACGTTCAATATTCTTTCTTTCAATATGACTAAATAATCCCAATTATAGCAATCTGATACTCATGCCTCAATGTTTTTTCGCTGAATGTGATGAAAACATTTGAAAAAGGTTCGTTTATTGAAATAAATCTACACCAGTTAGTACTTCGATTTCCAGGTAAAGGGAAAAGGCTCATTATTTGCCATATTGGCAGTGAGGATGGATTTGTTGTTGACGGTCTGTGGTGCTTTGAGTCTAAGAAAACTGGAGATTACCACGAGGAAATGAATGGCGAATCGTTTGAACAGTGGTTTTCAAAAATTTTACCGAACTTAGAGGAAAACGCAGTAATTGTGTTGGATAATGCGCCTTATCATTCTCGAAGAATGGAGAAGGTCCCAACAACGGCTTCAAGGAAAGTTGATGTTCAAAATTGGCTCCGCTCGAAAAATATCAACTTTGAAGAAGCAAGGCTGAAAGTACAATTATTAAGAATTGTCAAGGATCACAAGGCGGAATATCAAAAATACGCCATTGACGAAATGGCAGCAAGTCAAAATAAAACTGTGCTCCGTTTACCTCCATACCATTGCGAGCTCAATCCCATTGAGCTCATATGGGCAGAGGTTAAAAATTATATAGCTAAGCACAATACAACTTTTAAATTTTGTGACCTCAAAGGACCAAAGAAGCACTAGAATTAATAACAGCGCAAAAATGGGAAAACTGTATTAAGCACGTGAAAGACAAAGTTGAAAAGAGAATGTGGGAACTGGACAATATTTTAGAGGAACAAGTCGAGCCATTCATTATTGACGTTGGTGCTTCAGGCAGTAGCGATGATGAAAGCTCATCAAGCTCATCTTTCCAATAAAAGATGTCGTTCATCAAATTCGGTAAGTTATAAGTAATTATAAAGCTACTGTATTTTTTAATTAATTATTGACATTTTTGAACCCATTTTGGCAAAACCTATTCAAGAATCTACTTTCTGACAATGTTCAACCATGCACATTTTTTTACGTTTTGAACGTTTTAATTTGGTTACATATTTACCTAGAAATCAAAAAATATACTAATCAATATTCTAAAAGCAATTTTAAGAGATATACGATTATTTTTAATTTAGGCTAATTTAAACGCCATTTTGAGATTATATTCGACTGTATTTCACCAAGCATCAGGCGGCATCTGAAGCTGGAAGTCGAAGCGAAAATTTTGAAACCCTTATGTATATTTACATCATTATATATTTCTTACCCCACCCCCACATGATCCTATATCCATCACCAATCGTATACACATCGAATTGTGCTAATTTACTACAAAGTTACGCAAAGCAGCATCTACTATCTAAAATATGTACTGCGTGACTCTTAATACGTCCCTGCCGAATGTTACAGCGTTTGATGATCACGTGGTCTTGTTCATGTCCGGTCTATCTCTTATCTGAATATACTGTAGATGATGCTTACGTCATCGGTAGTTATTTACTTTTTTACACGAATGGCAACCCTCACATTGTCTTTGCTTGAAAACGAAACGCATTTTCGGGGATTCCCGCAAATAATTCATACGTTTAGTGAACAGCGCGCGGTAATTCCCCTACTCGCTTTAGAACCAAGTAGGAGAATTACCGCGCGGTGTTCACTTGTCTAAATTTCCTCTATCAGTGTATTGTTTTGTTTGGATACTATAGCGAGTAGACGTATTGTAAGCACAGTGAAGCAGGTTAACATTTATGTTACCATTGATTCCATTAGCCAAAGTTTAATGTTTAAATAAAATGTCGTTTCACATAGACATATCCAAGTTATACCAAAAATTGTTTGAAAGTTTTAAAAAATCTCATACAAGTACGAAAGTACAAAATGTACAAAAGTTAGTTAACGAAGTGTTGGGAAATTACAAATTACAAGCAAAATCCGACAAGGAACTAGATATTATTGTATCTAAGAGAATCGAAGAAGAACTGCAAGCGCCGGTGACTAAGAATAAATTCAATCAACTAAATTTTTTTTCTAAGGCGAGTGACGAAATCATTTTAGGTACCTATGAGTACTAGAAATATTAGAAATCGCAAAAAAGTTTCTCTTTACTGATTAGAAAATATTATGGCAAAGTATAGAGGTAATATTCATTATATTATAGATTTATTTCTTATGATTGATTCCGTCAATTGGTCACAAAGTACAGGATGTTAGTTTTATACATATATACATTTTTTTCGTCATCCGACATTCGACATCCGTCATCCGTCATCCATCAAACTAACACCCTGTATTTTGTGACCGGAACGAATTGCTCGTTTAAACATATTAAGTTTACAGCCATAGGGTTTTGTATTTACCATATACAGGGTGACTTCGAAGTTGAGTCATTTATTTTAACAGTGAGTAGATCTGATCAAAAGAAATGTTTTTTCCTTTACCATTTTTCTGGTAAAATTAAAATAAAAAAGTTATAGCCCTTTGGAAGTTTGAGTACCGCCCTCTCTCAATAATAATATTATGTGCTCTTGTTTGGCAACAACGGATATAATCCGCCTTATCGGTTCATCGCATCGGAAACAAAAAAGCGAAAGAATTTGGAACGATGTTTTTACAATTATTTTATTCAGTTGTATACAGTCAGTGTCAGTCGGTAACGCGTGAGTGAATAGTGGTGTCTGTTGCGTGGCTCAAACGAAATCAAAAATGGCACATGTTTACGAAATGCTGAACTTGTGGACATGATTCTTATTTGCGCGGCATCACGGATTTATGCGGATCGGTTTCCCAATCGAGTGCAACCAACCCCTCGTGCCTTTGTTAATGTAGTACAAAGGGCTCGTGAATCAGGTGACTTAAGACCTCACAGGGAAGGGCATTCCGGTGCTCCAAGACCGCACGATCAAATACAGGTCCGCACTGAAATACTTGTCGGGAGGATACTTTATAAAACAAGGTAACATTTTTTTTTTATTTTTTTTTATTTTTACACACATATTTTGGTTTATCTTCCTTCTACAATCATTATCTGAAAATTAATGACTCAACTTCAAAGTCATACTTTGTATTTATGTAGCTTAATAAGAGAATCTTTAGCAGAAGCCATAGAAAGTTTTTTTAGGCAACCTGTAAACCTGCAGAAAAAACAGAGTCAGCTTCAAATATTAAAAAAGAGGAAGAACATAAAATAAAACCCGGTAATGAATCACAACAGCAATGCGAAATTAATGACAATACAGATAAACAGAGAGCAAAACCTTCTCAGGAAGCTATGAATAATAAGATTGCGCTACTCGAAAAAAATCTGAATGCTTCGTATTCTACCAGAGATACTATGCCAAGCCGTGCTGAAGTTGACAAACAGATCATTACGTTGTGCGAGGAAATAAAAACAGCAAAACAGTCTTTAAATAGGAAGGTTCAAAACGCAGTTGCCCAGAAGAAACACAGAGATGGTATGAAAAGAAAGTTAGAAGATATTTGTCATGAAAATCCAGAAATAAAAAAAAGACTATCTCTGAGGGATTCAGTGGGACGTCCTAATCTTGAAAGCAATCAACATTCACTATTGAAAACCATCGCGGTTATAGCTTTATTTGGGAGTGCAGCAGATGATCGAAGACGAACGGAATCAATTCGCAGCGTAAAAACTCTTGATGAACTCACACAAGAATTACGTAAAATAGGATTTGACATTAGTCGCAGTGGGACATATCTTCGTTTGATTCCCAGAAAATCTAATTCTGCAGAGGGACGAAGACATGTATCGACAGTCACTGTTAAGCTCATTCGGGCTCAAACTGATCACCACAAGAGCCACTTAGATAGCAAGTTCACTAAAACATCAATCCATTATTTAGAGAACATAGCATCCATACTTGGACCAGATCAAGTATTTTTCATATCTCAAGATGATAAAGCTCGAGTCCCTATTGGGGTAACTGCGGCAGATAAGCAAGCACCTCTTCTAATGCACATGGACTATAGAATCAAATTGCCTGATCACGATTGGGTAATCGCTGAGCGTCATAAATTAATACCATCTGTTTATGCTAATATCAAAATCACTTCCAATATGCTAGGAGCGAGCCCTACTGAGCGAGGGCCGTGGCAAATGCTTGTTCCGGAAGTTGTTGTATCCAGTATACAACTTCTTCCCGTCCAAGTGATTGTGCACGCGTTAAGGAATACCTCAGTACCGATTGCCGGGTGGCGGTACAAGTCCGCCAACGGGCCACTTTAGGTCTATTTAATATCACTAACACGTAAAAAGAAAGTGGTAGACAAGGATCAGTCGACCGAGGCGGTACCACCCGCTAGCTTTTCCCAGGGTGTCTTATAAATGTCCGCATGTTTCCACACCTAAGCTATGCGGTTATCTACCAAAACAAAGAATTTAATGATGGTGGATCCCTCGAGCACCAAGAACTCCGGACGTAAACTCACTCCACTCTCGCAATGTCCGGGTGGAGGGTGGGCTCGAGGGAACAACATCGAAGATGAAATTTGTTTTTCTAACATCTGCGGGATCAACAGCAATATTGATGCTGTTCATCACTACCTGCAATCCAATCGTCCCGCCGTGCTTTTCTTGGCGGAGACAAAAATCTCAGAGACTGCACCGATTAACCATCTCAATTTCCCAAACTACGAGGTGCACTCCAATCTGAGAAAGAACGGGGGAGTTGTGGCTTTTGTCCGCAGCAGTCTTTCCTGCTCCAGGGATCTTTCTTTGGAATCAGACCGGAAGGACATTCTGTGGCTTCGCCTCAACTCCAAAACATCACCCAAATTTATTTACTGCCTTTATCGCTCTCCCTCGAACCATAACTGGGATGACCTACTCGAATACCTCGCCGTCCAGATCGACTTCCTGAACATCAATCACCCCGCTTCAGAGGTAGTTCTTCTCGGTGATTTCGATGCCCATAATGAGCTTTGGTTGGGCTCAAATAAGACCGATGCAGCAGGTCGTGCAGTCGAAGCGTTCGCTCTTACTCAAGGGCTGACCCAGCTGGTGACGAGCCATACTTTTTCCCCGCGTCTCGTCACACGCCAGTAGCCTGCTGGATCTCTTTCTGACCACGCATCCTGTCCCTTACAGCACTGCTGTCCTGTTCCCCCTGGGTAACCCAGACCACGGTGTTGTGGAAGTTAGGTTCCGGTCAGAAGCCGCTGTGGCAGCAGAAACTCGTACAGGCCGCAAAACTTGGCATTACGGACATGCCGACTGGGAGGGGCTCAGAGACTTCTTCTCTAGCTTTCCTTGGAGAGATTTCTGTTTCACTGACGCGGATGCGTCGACTGTCTGTTCTTCGATAACCGAAATTATCCACGTCGGAATGGAGGAATACATCCCTCACACAGTGAAAGTTCCTAAACCAGGGTCCAACGGCTGGTTCAACAAATCGTGTGAGACTGCTCGCCAGCAGAAGATCAAGGCACACAGAACCTACTTACAAAACCCCACTGTAGAGAACAGACAAGCCGACGTCGAGACCAGAAACAAATATAACGAAGCGGTTCGCAATGCCAGAAACCAGCATGATATAAAAGTTAGGCACAGGGTAATGTCGCAGCGCAATGGCAGTCGGTCTTTCTGGACGCTGGCCAAGCAGATTGAAAAGAACTTCTCACACAGTAGCCTTCCACCACTTACGTGTCAGGATGGAACTATTGCATTCGACTCAAAGGCCAAGGCGGAAGTGCTAGCCAAGATCTTTGCTGCCAACTCCACCATGGACGTCCCCACCAACGCCCAAGTGCCGTCAATTCAAAGGGTTCCCCACACTATGCGGGAGGTAACATTCAGGCATAAGACCGTAAGACGAGTGCTCTTGTCGCTCGACATCAACAAAGCTTCTGGTCCGGACTTGATTCCTGCCATTATACTGAAGAGATGTGCAGCGGAGCTTGCTCCAGTTCTTTCGCGTCTCTTCCAGATATCTTATTAATCCGGCACCTTACCAGAAAACTGGAAATTTGCTCATGTACAGCCCATCCCAAAAAAAGGATCTAAGACCGACCCTTACAACTACAGGCCTATAGCTCTGCTTTCTGTTATAAGTAAAGTGATGGAGAGGTGCATAAATTGCGAGCTTCTGGACTACCTCGAACGTCACAGCTTGATTAGCGACAGGCAGTACGGTTTCCGGCACCAACGATCCACAGGGGACCTCCTAGCTTACGTCACGCAACTGTGGAGTAAACTCATCCAGTCTCATGGTGAGGCTCATGTCGTTGCTCTTGACATCACGAAAGCGTTCGATCAACTGTGGCACGCTGCCCTCTTAAGCAAACTTCCATCCTATGGCCTCCCAGAAAAGGTTTGGCGATGGGTGGCTGACTTTATCTCTGGCCACAAGATATCCGTCGTAATTGACGGATTCTCCTCTTCATCCCACAACGTCAACGCGGGTGTTCCCCAGGGATCGGTCTTGGCTCCAACACTGTTTCTCTTACATATCAACGACCTCCTTTCCTGCACGATCAACCCAATCCACAGCTTCGCTGATGACAGTACTCTACATGCAGGAATTCAGAGTGACAAGGGACCTGGAGGCTATCACTGCTTGGGAACGCAACAATCTTGTACAGTTCAATGCTTCCAAAACACAGTACTGTACTTTGACGAACAAAAAGCGTCCTAGCGCTCATACAGTTTCGATGGACGGCCGAGTTCTACCAAAGAGCCATTCATTTCGGCTGGTCGGAGTCCAGATCACCGAGGACCTGATCTGGCACGAACACATCTCTTCAATAGCTGCAGCTGCTGGGAAAAAGCTAGGCTATTTGTTTAGGGCTAAGAAGTACTTTTCTCCGCATGACCTTCTCACTCTATACAAGGCCCAGATAAGGCCTAGCCTCGAGTATTGCTCGCACGTTTGGGGTGCTGCCGCCCCGACTACATTGCCCATGCTCGATGCTGTCCAGAGGAGGGCGGTCCGACTGATCGATGACTCTTCTCTAACAGACCGTATCGGGACTCTTTCGCACCGGCGGGCCGTCGGCGATCTAGCTCTTTTCTATCGCTACACCAACGGGCTTTGCCCCTCAGAGCTCTCTTCCATGATGCCGCTGCGCGATGTGTCTGCCAGACAGACTCGCCTGACTTCGGCGTCCCATCCTAACCGTGCCAAACTTAGTACATCCAGAACTGGCCGATACGACCGCTCCTTTGTCCCGAGGGTGTCTAGATTGTGGAACAACCTACGGGAGAAAGCTTTTCCCAGTTCTACTAACCTTAGGCAGCTCAAAAATCGTATTAACAAAATTTCTTTGGGATCATCATAGCAGCCGCGGTGTTCCGGCATTTAGGCTTCTGCCTGCGCGGCTGTTTCGATGTAAAAAAAATAGGACAACCGCAAGCCGTTGGATATTCTGGACCAACATATATCACTATTCGAAGTGGTATGCATAGTTCATCTACTGCTAATACTCATGCTCAGGATTTCGAGACGCTTCTCGAACTTGAAGAGTTTCGACCATTAGCTAAAACTGACCATGGACTAGTAAAACCAGTGGTAATCATGACGGTTGATGGAGGGCCAGACGAAAATCCACGTTATCAAAAAGTCATAGGGTTTGCTATACAACACTTTAAGCGACATGATCTCGATTCATCGTTTTTAGCTACCAATGCTCCTGGAAGAAGTGCGTATAACAGACTAGAGCGCAGAATGGCTACTCTTAGTCGGGAAGTGGCTGGTTTAATATTGCCTCATGACCATTTTGGGTCTCATTTGGATGAACGTGGCGTTACAATTGATGAACATTTAGAAAGATATAATTTCGAATTTGCAGGAAATGTATTAGCTGAAGTATCGAGTTCAATGGAAATTGATGGCTATAATGTTAATGCAAAATATGTTGGGGCAGGTGAACAAGATCTTCCTGATTTTCCAGACATTAAATGGTATTCAGAACATGTGCGTGAGAGCCAATACTAGCTTCAAATTGTAAAATGTAGAAATACAGAATGCTGTCGTCCAAGAAGTGGCCTATTTAGATTACTAGACAATAGGTTTCATCCACCACCTGTAAAAGTAAAAAAAACAGTTGATGACTTGGTTTTGGATGAAGGAGGGCAATTTCTTAATATTCCAGTCAATTTAGCTCTACGCTTAAGTGCTTCACTCAAAGATTTCCTGCAAATCCCCTACGATTATTTTTGTCCGACGGTAAAATTGAGGCTATCAAGTCGAACATGCAAAACGTGTGGTCTTTATCATGCTTCCGTCATGTCGCTGAATCGTCACATCGAAAATATCCATAAAAAAGTAAACACGCACACTGATAGGAAAGTTAGACCTGTAAGAATCGCTGCTCGTCGTGCTAATGAACTGATGTGCATTATTCAAAATTTAGAGCACCATGATGTTGAATGGCTCGATGAGAACGACGTAGACATTCCAAAATCCGATGAAAGCGAGCAAACTCACAACACTGAGCAGCAATCGAAGCAATCCAATGTCATCGAAAACTTAGAATCATGGATTCGGGTTTCATGGACTGAAGACTGTTAATTTGAATTTAATATATGTACCAAAAATTTAAAATAAGTTTGTTATGTTAGTAATATATAATATTTTTCTCCTTCATTCTATGTTAAATACCAATCAGTAAAACATAATCTCTATCCTAAATCCATTTTCTTGTTTCTCAAATTATAATTATAACGTTATAATTATAATATTAAAAAAAACAATACATTAATTGACAAATGTTTACGTAAGCATGGGGGAAGGGGGTAAGAGCTTTGCTTACTTTTGCTGACAAGGGGGATGGGGGGGTAAATAATTGTAATAAATCTGCTTACGTAATACTTGAACGGCCCCATACCAGTTATTAAAGCTCCTATGAAATACATAACTTATTTTGAACAACTACGTAAAGAGAAGAACATATCTGTGGGCCTCACATGACGGCGTCAATAAAGAATAATTAACTCGTTTAGATATAAATAAAGGACTCAACTTTGGCATGTTCAGAAAACCTGACCATTTAATTAAAAAAGCATACATGTAATAATATTTTCTGAGGAAAACACAGTGATGTATCGATCTGGTTTTGTCAGTGTTACTGGATCCAATACCTATACTCGTGCCGGCTGCGCCATTTGTTTGAAAATTATTTATTTTCTTAATCACTGACCCAAAGACACTAAGATATAATTTTGAGATCACTTAATCGTGTTCTAAGTTGAGATTAGATATAGTTCTGCTTGAACAAATAAGAAAATTTCTTCCGCAAGGCATACACACCAAAGACTCAACATGACAGAATTATTGGGATTCGAAAAAATGCGCCTCTAGCAAATAGGATTAGGTGCTGAAAACGTACGATATGCGTCAGCGTCAGTCGGGTGAGTATCCAATCCCACAGGCACCGCGCGCCATGCGGCTAAAGTTGGCATAATTTTTCCGTTTCACGTTAACGTGTCATACAATAAATAGTGTCCCCACTAGACGTTCAAGAGTATTGTTTTTCAATAAAATGGTAAGTTAGTAGAAGCAAGTACCTCCTCCCCCTCACTCTTCAATTCTCAGTTGGCGGTAGAGACATTTCTCTGCATACAGTAAGGACTTAATATATCCCCACAAGTAATAATCCAAGGGATTTAAATCGGGCGAGCGGGCTGACTTAGAAACTGTGCCCCCTCGTCCAATCCAACGCCCAGGAAAAGTGTTATTTAAATACTTTTTGCAAAGTTCAATTAAACTGACACAACTACTCCGTCAACAAACAAACACCAGCGTATTAATCGGGCAGTACAACGCGAACGTGGACTTAAATTATTGTAAACAGTTGTTTTCATTCGAACAGTATTAAATTTTTTGTTAAATAAAAGCAATTTTCTAACAATATTGTGGTTTTCGCCCACTAAAAGTAAAAAAATCATATCTCGATAAGGAAGCAGTTACGGACCTATGTTCATACGACTTTTTCGACTCGAAGTGGGACATCCTGTATAATGGATAAAACAAAAAATAGGAAAATAATGGGCAAAATCCGCAAAAAGAAGGAAAGTGGATTCGAGCAGAAAACAGGATAGGTAACCCGAGCAATACGTATTTCTGCTTGTTGGCTTCATCAGGCCCGAATGAATGCACATATGCAACCACAAAAATAGATACACATGTCCACACATCCGGATACGGGTGTAACCTGAGGAAACGAAGATGGAGAAGGAAAAAATGTGTGTTGTTATATACCTTTCTCCTCATGATCATTTTCTCTATATACGAGATATATAGCCTCTACTGCTTCCACGACGATTTGACAATAATTCATATGCATATGGAAAACTTCTAGGATTACTTTTCGATACATTAAAGCAAATAGTGTGCGACATGCTTTGTTAAGTAATAATTTTGTCGTTTGCAATACTTGAAAGCAGCACTTAAGGTAATATATGACAAATGTTTGCTATATTGCAAATTTTATATATATCTTTGGGTGCTGTAATCGCGAAAAAACTTCAAATGGAAGAATAATTTTCAGATATAACATGGTAGGTACATTTTTTTTGTGGTGTTCGTCAGGTAATCCTTGGCCCTCTATTACAGACAGAAAAATAAGTATAGTTTTTGTCAATCAGTCCTGTTGCAATAGAGTAATCGGCGAAAACTAATTCAATTGCTCCTTCTATAACTTGGAAAGTATCACTGGATTTTGAAAAAAAATATATGTCTTTCGTTTCTTTTGAACGCAGGTAAAATTCAGAAAGAAGTCAAACTTTGTTTTTTTTATACTCCAACTACCACGAACGCCTAACGCCTAAACACCCATGGGGTACCGTGGGGCTATAGGGGGATACAGGGGAAAGGGGGGATGCCACACGGACTCTGGCGAGGGAACACGTGTGCATGCAACATGCACACATTCTGGCCCAGCCTACGAGATCCGCCGGGTGGACAGTTAGAACATCCATAGCCAAGAGAAAAATTTCTCCTGGGACGGGATTCGAACCCGCATAGCGCACGGCGACTGATCAGGAGACCGAAGAGTCTACTACGGCGACCACCGCTGCTGCCTTGTCGATATACAGGGTATATAGTAATTTATTTTAACAGCCTGAGCTTGTAGAGCTCGTCACAAGAAGTTGATATACCAAACGTCACCTAGATAAAAGTTGCATGTTAAGAGAGTTAGTTTACATTATCAAAAATTATTTGAAAAAATCATTTTCAAGTTGAATGAATACCGTTTTCACAAAAACGGTTCAAAATTGTCCCCATTTGTTCGATTAACGAAATATCTTGCTGGACTCTTTACAAGCTATAAATAAAATCCTGCTGCCCACGAATTAAATCACAAGGCGTTAAATCCGGGGCAGGTCAAGAAATGTGTCCATTGTGTCCTATCCATCTATTTGGAAACTCATTATTTAGATTAGGGAACTTCTCGTCTAAAATGTAATGGAGCCCCATCATGTAGGAAACACATATTCTGTCTCACATTTACAGGAGCATCTAATAATTGTGGCAGGTTTTGTCGTAGAAAATTTAAAATAAATTTCACCGGTCAGTCGAGGTGGAGAAAATTAGGGTCAAAAATCAAAACCATTTATTCATGCAAGATACAGTCATTGTATGAGCACATGTCATTTTTGATACATTCACAGAAATATTTTAAAACCTTAAAGCATACTATAGGTTCCATTACATAACACATATATCAAGTGCATTCAAAACCAGTGCCTAAAATCTCTGATATCGCATATGGAGCAAGTTGTAGGAGGTATTGCTAAACACTACTTTTGAAGTTATTTAATTCGAGACTTTTGGTCTATGGAGGTAGTTTATTGTATGATTTGACAGCAATAAATTCTGGCCTGTTTTGACATTTCCTCAGTCGGCAGAAGATAGGTCTGATTTTGTTCCTGTTTCTTGATTCATATTTATGTATCTCGCTCTGAAGAGTGAACCGTTTTTTACATTTTTTTTTACAAACAATACACTTTCCAGAACAAAAACAGCAGGAAAAGTCAATATGCTCAATATGACAATGGCTTCCCTGCAGTCCTCCCGAAAAGATAATCCTGCTAGTATTCTTATAACTCTCCTCTGTAGCACAAAAACTCTGTTTGCATGAGCTGCTCCACCCCATGCCATAATTCCATAGCTCATTACATAATCAAATACCTGTGGTATGCTGATATTAGAACCTCATAAGATATGGACCTTTGAAGTCGATGAAGCAGAAAAACTGTACCCCACAGCCTCTTACAAACAGCTTCCACATGAGGCAGCCACTGTAGGCGAGCATCTAGGTTTATTTCTAAAAATTTGATAGACTGCAGATCCCTATTACTCATGTCTCTGAGCCCAAAAATCGTTTTTTGGGTTTTGTCAACATTTAGCACAAGTTTGTTAGCCCGGAACTATTGCTCAGCCCTTATCTGTGCATCCTTAGACCCTGCGCCAGATCAAGCATTCGTGTGCCATGTGTGAAAATTGTAGTATCATCAGCAAAGAATGTGTAAATGGCATTGTTCTCACATGCTGGCAAGTCGTTGATGTAAATCAAAAAAAGTATGGGGCCAAGGACTGAGCCCTGTGACATTCATATTTTTCAAAGATTCTCGAGAGGATTGGCAGCAGAGACACTGGACGGTAGTTGTAAATATCTCCCTCATCCCCTGTCTTGAAAATGAGAATGACTATTGCGACTTTTAAAACATCAGGAATTATATTTTCTCGAAAGCATAGATTTATCAGCTTAGTTAAAGGAGGTATTATTATGTTCTTTATAGTTTTTATAAATTGAACCGCTAAGCCGTATGTATCAGCGCTTTCCTTGTTCTTGAGTGAATTTATACTACGTGACATATAAATCCGAACACCCAGTTTAAATGGTTTTATTTTAATAAAAGTTGGTGAATGTATTTATCTTACTGTAAATAACAAGTGAAAAAATGTTCAGCCTTATCAGTTGGACATTCCGGTTTTTATACTGCTTTTTTTTAATTCACTAACGCTCTAAAAATGAATATTTCAGCCGCAGTAAAGAATCAACGTTGGCGGATTTTGGTTCTTGACATCCTTTACGATCGGTTACGATGCCTAGAGTACGGAGACCTGTACGATTTCGTCAACTTATTGAGTTTGATAGGGGCCGTATAGTGGGACTTCGGGAAGCTGGACTTTCTTTTCGGGCAATTGCAGTTCGAGTGCAA